ATAGCTGTAAAGGTGTGTAGACATGAGAGAAAGCTGCATATGTTATATCATCTGATCTGTGGTGGACACACAGAAGTATTCCTACTCATAAATCAGCCAATTTTTATCCAGCTTGGTATGTTTATGTCAGTATTTAATGTTTCAGAGTTTCTGCTACATTTGATGGTTGTTTTCTCTCCTCGCAGCTTCAAGCAGCCGCTGCTCCTCGTGTCTTTGGATGGCCTCAGGGCAGAGTATCTGCAGACGTGGAGTGCACTCATCCCTGTCCTGGATAAACTCAGTCAGTGTCAACCTTCTGTTTTTAAAGAATGACTCTTACATGTCTGTTTATTGTAAGAAACGTGTGTCTATAAATTGCCTGCCTTTAGGCTGTTTGACGACAAATTGAAAGCTGACATCATCGTTCATAAGAAATCAAAGCTTCAAGATGAAACATGCCCAGTTATCTTATCAAAACAGATAAATATTTAAACGCTTTCACACAAAGGCAGCTTCCACTGTATTTCCTGCTTATCAAATATAAATAGTGTGTGTTCAGAGTTGCATCTTATGCTTAATGAAGTTATTCAGCCTGCAGGCAGGGCGATGACTCACACGGTCATATTAAAAGGAAGTCACATGGAGGAATTAATTTGTCACCATTCCTTATTTATTCACAGGAAGGTGTGGAACTTCAGCTCCATTCATGCAGTCCGCATTTCCCACAAAGACTTTTCCCAATCACTACTCCATTGTTACGGTACAGACGCACAGCACTCACACTGCTGCATACATTAGTACATCTTTTTTACAGTAAACAAACTCGATCGTTGTGTTTGTTAGACATAGATAATGTAAATAAACACAAAATGCAGATTTGAAATAAAGATGTTTATTATTAAAGGCCCTGAGTGGGAAAGAGTTTGTCCCCTAAACCTAATAACTGGTTGGGCCACGCTTAGCAGCAACAACTGCAATCAAGCGTTTACGATACCTGCAGTGACTCTTACAGCTGCGGAGGAATGTCGGCTGAATTGTTGTAATTCAATTCAGCTGTGTCTCTGGTCATGTACCCGTTTGTCTGTTCTCTGTCTTCTGTCTTCTGTCTGCCCCCAGAATGTTTTCTAGCGTTTCCTGGTCTCTGTGATATTTAGTTTCAGTTCATGCCTAAGTTTTGTATTCCCTGAGCTCTGGAGTTTCAACAATAAAAGCTGTGTTTGAGTTTGAGTCATCTCCAAGTCCTGCATTTGGGTCCTTGCCACCACCGCGTTTTACTGTTGGTTTG